TCGGGCCGGTCCCGGGTCCACCTATTCAGAACCGGCGGCCCGCCCGGGACTAGGCCCGGCCCGGACCCGACCCGGTCCGAATCAAGCCCTAGATTTAGGTAGATAATAGAATTTTGTTTTCATTTTCCTAAAGTGATACTCCATATCACATATTTACGTATCGACTATCAATTAATGTTTAATTGTAATTTGTGAAATTTGAACTACATAATGCTTAGTTCAACTTTGGTAATCAAGTGGCTGGTCTTTACATATGCAAGTCAAATGTAAAGATGAAAATTATGACAAATCCAATGAATACCCGCACCGAAACACTTCGTTCAAAACTTGGAAAATTGCATTGATCGTGTAACGGGTATGGAGAGGAGAATGCCCATTTTTATGGTTACCCGAGCAATTACAGTTTTGTACATGCACGCGCCCATTACCTGTTTGTACCCGCCCCGTTTATTTTAATTATATACTGGTTACTTTTTTCTATTATTTGTCCTATAACTAAAAAAATATAAGATTTTCTGCTTTTCATTGTATCGTATCCTATCCTGTACCTAAAAGCACTACACTAGAGTGGGAAAGTTCTGCCCCGGTGCAAATGTCTATTCCGTAATTTTCTTCGCTAAGGCTAATCGCCCCTCCCTTCTCCTCTTCAGCCTACACCCGTATTTCTCCAATTTTCCGCCTTTTCATTTCTTCTCCAATTCCACCAGAAGCAACTCCTGTGATTTCGATGAGTTCTTCTTCCATAATCCACACTTCACTTTCAAATCCATCTGATTCAGTTTAGGGTATGGTCAATTCAGCGCGTCACGGCTCCATTTTATCCATCGTATTTAGAAACCTGATACACTTGTAATTTCCGTGTGTATGTTTATGTTTTTAGCTAGTTTTAATTGTTTAATATTTCGGAAATTACACACTTTTGGTGTAATAGTCATGTTTGTAAAATAGTTGTAATATGTTTAGATTAGGTCCATTCTGAGTTTAAACAGGTCCAAGATCAATCCAATGATCATTGGTGAAGGAAGGTGCAAGAGTACAAGACAAAAAGAAGGCAAAATCCTGATTTTTGACCTATACTCGATCGAGTATAGCATATACTCGATCGAGTATCTTGTTGAGATTTCAAATCGGATCGGATCTGAAAACAAAGGAACATGCAGGGAAGATTTTGACCACGATCGAGTGTCGATACTCGATCGAGTACACCGACATACTCGATCGGGTATGACTATAAATTATACTCTGAATTCGGTCGAGTATGGGTCGAATTCAAGTTTCTACTCATACTCGATCGAGTATATATACATACTCGATCGAGTATGCCTTTAATTTTAAACCTGAAATCGATCGAGTATACCTCGAATTTGCATTTCTACACATACTCGACCGAGTATCTTTATATACTCGATCGAGTACCCGAGCTGCACTCCCAAAAAGCCTATAAAAGCCTATAAATACACCCCCTTTCCTTCACAATAGGATACCAATTCACATATACTCTTTAGCTCAGTTTAGATTAGTGTTTTCTTTATATTTTCTATCATGTTTAGTCTCCAAATGAGGAGCTAAACTCTTCCATCTTGGTTTTGCTACTTTGAAGCTTAATGATTTGTAAGTTGTGAGTTATTTTCTTTAATCTTCTTCCTTGAATATTAATTACTTCCTATTCATATTCCATATTAATATATTGAGCATTACTTAAAGTATCAACTAGTCTTGTTCTATATATTAATTATTACTAGAATCAATCGATTAATACGCTTGTTATTAATTCGGTTCTTTCATGGTAGTAAACTTGGATTATTAATGCATGCATCTCATGGTTAATAATCTAAGGGGAATTAATTATATTGATTAAACCAATAAACCGCTTGTGTTGAGGTTATCAATCTCAGTCGTTTTCATCTTAAGTTTATTGCTACTATCAAGTTAATATACGGCGCTTGTTCTATATTGACTCGATAGTAAGTTTTATTAATGAACGCTTCTCGTTATCAATAACTACCCTCGATGAACTGGATATACTCCTCGATTGAGTATTCGAGAGGAAGATAGTTAAAGATATAACCGGGATCGACGAACATTTCATTAAGTGGATAAAAGCAAAGCCAAGTCTTCTTCTCATTAATTAAACCACATAACTCGTTCATCTTCGTGTTCAATTTTAATTAAATCATTCAATCAAACCCCCCCCCCCCCCTTTATTTATTAGTTTATAAAAAGAGAAGTATTCCTTTCCCTGCGGATACGAACCTTACTACGCTATACTACGTATAAGTGTTGTATTGATATTTATTTTGAGTGCACCTCACGACAAGTGCACGTCAAAACCCTCCACACCAAGGCACCAATCCGGCGGTCGTTGCTAGAATTGAAGATATTGACCACCTCCGTCTACCTCTCTCAGCCACAGTGGAAGAGGAAATCTCCATCGCCGGGGAGGACATGGGGCTTATAGCTATCTTCTTCAAATATAATCTCAGACCCTTCTTCATAAAGTTAAGTTTTCCCATTCATTATTCTTACAATCTTCATTATCAGATTTAAATTTCTGATAATTAAGCCCAGTTTATCAATTTTGGTTTATGTATATATAGATTATATATTCAATTATAGCTTCATGAAAGAAAGATACACATATGGCTAATTGCACGGCTGCCTGGTTTGCTTATAATTGTTCAGTATCTTAAATTTCCATGTTGAACCATTTCAGGAAGTCTCTTTTCTGCTGACAAGTTTGGATGGTGGGGTTCAATGATAAGGAATCAAATCCACCAAATTGGTAATCTTAGTTTCAGTTCAGAGATGGAGACCAAGGATTTCAAGAATGTGTTCACATTAGGAAATGGATCTGACATTTTAAGATCGAAAAGCAAACCAAATGAGATGAATAACCTGTTCATCTTGGGATCCTGTCATGCAAGGAGATAATGCCATTTCACATAAGGTTGATGGACCTACTGTAGTTGGAATGAATAAAAGAAAGATTGATGATACATTTGCAGGTTATACTGCAATTAATGGGTATGAATCTGTTCTTTGTTTCACTTATTCCTGTACTTTTCATTCCTATACTTTTCAATAATCACATGTAATAAATGCCCTTTCCAGTTTGACATAGGCTCACCTCTCAAGTGCAGTTGAAGAAATTCAAATATGTCTCCCTGGGAATTTGTGGTATCATTACTCAGACTTTTTTGCCTACTGAGTCCTTTATGTTTAATATATATATGTTCTACTAACTATAGTTTTACATGTTAATGATTATACACTACATGAATAACGCTTAGGTGCTGACTTTTTTTTTGGGTTTGGACTGCATGCAATTGGATAAGTTTTAAGCTAATATGACATATAAAATATACATGGTTTAAACCAAAATTATCACTAGGTTTTATCCAATTGAGCATAATTGGCTCATTTTTACTCACTAGGTTTGGACTGCATGAATACTTTCTTTAGAAGTTGCTGTGAGTGTCTTATCAGAGTTTCGGACCATATCTTGACAGCTTAATTTCATTAGTGTGGCTAAATCTTTAAAGCAAGTTTGGTTTGGTGAGCAAATTTTGTTCACCAATTATGGTTTTCACCAAACCAAATTCTGATATTTAACATTAGTAATCTTACCAGATTATTTTGTCACCCTCTTTTATATATTACGTTTGAGATTTTTTATACTAATTACTCTTTCTTGAGATTTTATATGAAGGTATTTATTAAGTATTTAATGAATAATGATAAATTGTGGTTGGATAGATTGCCACCTTTTTATTCACAAATAAAAAAATTCTGACATTTATCATTAGGAGTCATTCCAGATTATTATATGATTCTCTTTTATCTATGACATTTCTGATTGCTATATTAATTACTCTTTCTTGTGATTTTAGATATTATTTTTTCTATTTTGTAAATTTATTCATGTTTTTTTAACTTTCACAACCACTTCATGAATTCTATTTTTTTTTTATCTTTCTCATCTACTTCATTTATAGGAACAATGGCGCCTAAAAAGGTGTATCTGGGAGACGTTGTGAAGAACTTACCAAGCAATTCTGCTTTCCTGGTGAGAGTGACTCGGAAATGGAATGCCCTTTTTGGAGAGAAAAGTCGAGCCATCAAATCCATTGAAATGATTTTCATGGATGAAAAGGTTACACATTTTTTCCTACTCCACACTTTTATATTAACGATGATAGAACATATAACAGACATCAGGTTGGTAAATACACCAAAAAAGAATAAATTGTTTTAAAACAATATTTTCTCTAGGTTTAAATTTTAAACGAATTGAGCATTATTCGGTTCTTATATTAATACTTAATTTTCAATATAATTTTTTAATATCAAGGATACACCATATCATATACATTAGTGTTATTTATATAACTAATATAGAAACTATGTGAAGACGAATCTGAACTGTTAGATTGTGTTATGTGAGATTGAATGTGCATGAGATGAAACTGAAGTGTGAATTAGATAAAATTGAAATATGAATCACAAAGGGTATAACACAGTGAAATTATTTGAAGATGAATCGTGCATTAGGTGAAACTGAAATGTGCAGAATAAAATGTACGATGCGGTGACATCTTTATACCTTTTATTCTACACATTTCAATTTTACCTAATATAGACGCATAATTGAGCTTTATCTTTTGCTATTCACAATTCAATTTTTTCTAATGCACATTTAAACACAATTCATTTTCACATAATATTGTCCAACAATCCAAATTCAGAGCCTATTTGGTGACGATATTTTTCGCTTTTTGATTTTGCGCGCTGAATGCTTGATTTTTGAAATAATAAGATATTTACTTAATAACCTTTCTTTCATAAATCAGCCAATACTGTCACTTCGACCAGAACTTCATAAATTTCAGCAGAATAAGTCAATGCAGTCGATTTGTGTATTACCAAATGGGCTCTAATTCTCATGCTCATTTCTCTAGCCTGAACCACTCAGCCCACCACACAGCCCGCTAGCCGAAGTGCCCATCTACTCAGCCCAACAGAGCCCCTCAATCCCTCCTGCCATCCTGTGCGCAGCAACAGACAATAGGAAGCGGACGGTTGACGCGTCCAGACTCCGGGCAGAACTTCCGACTTTCAGTTTCTCATTCCGGCCTTCCAGATTCCTCTTGCCGCCGCTCGCCTCGTTAGAGACCGGAATTTCAGGGACGCAACAAGCTCCCCTGCCTTGCCGATTTTAGGGGTCTGCTTCCGTTTATAAATTTAATTTCACTTCACAAGTATTTATATACTCCGTATATTTTAACCCAAAACAACACTTACTATACCGATGCAGGGAAACAAAACAAGTCTATTAAAAGAGAAATGGAAAACACCGCTGTTGATTCGAGTTTCCACCGCACTTTCAAATACCTACTAGGTTTGTCAATTTGAATATTAAGTTAAATGTCCTCCCTGTGTGGTCCAGTATTATACATAACTGTATACGTGTATAACAATGATCTCCATTTTCAGCTACACAATTTCTGTCAAGGGGAATCCCGTTCGTATTCAATTCCTGGATTGTTAGACATCTATCAGAAGAAGATTATGTGGTAAATTACAGTTTTTTGAACTCTAACTATTGTTTTTATAATTAGTTTCAATAATTCCTTATGGTTTAGTAGCTTTGCTTTGGGGGAGAGAATGTAAAAAAGTTATGGTAGTATATCGAGGAAAAAGAATTTGTTCTTCTTGGCGATTGAGAATTTGTAATCAACTTTATGAGAAATGATGGAAGCATGCTGATGGTTTATGCTTTGTTTGGAAGCAATTAAATCTGATGGTTTGGCTAAATCAGAACTCAAAGAAAAACACTTGTCGGTCCATCACGAGTTATTATAAAAATGGTATGTTGAACATTCACGTGTCTTCTCGAAATTGATTGAGAATGGTTACACTGGACTAGGGTTGTAATGGAACCGAATCGAGTCGAATAGTGAGATTTTGTATTTGTATTTGTTTAATTTTTTTGAATACAAATCCAAATTCGAATATGAAACGAATATAAATTTCGATTTGTATTAGTTTAACAATACGAATAGTTAACGAATCATATACGAATATCGAATCGATTTGAGCATAAGCTAAATATTAGTCAAATATCACTTCAAAATAACTTTTCCTATATTTTTATGTTATAAATGAATGTTGTGACTTAATATGTTTTTTTAGAATTTGATTTGTAACATTATATTTTCTTAAAAATTAATGGATCAATGCACTTTTAGATTGTGTATAATATAATATAGTGAATCAATTTTATGATTTTTTAAATATACATCTGTTCGAAACATTTTGAAATGAACACTAACGCACACATATTAGAAATTATACTTATCATGTGTGAAATAAGTTGATAATTGTATATACCAAAGTCAAACTACTCTAATTTTATGTTTTATATTTAGCGTTGCTGCTAATAAAAATCCATTAGATATACGGAGAATAATTTAAACTACACACACATAGAGGATAGTTGATGCATGCACATGCATATTATGTAGTTGATTTTGTATATGTATAAACGAATATATTTGGTTATTCTTTGAATTGAATACATAATCATTTGTATTCGTATTTGAAAGATATTTGAACCAAAAATCCGATTTGTATTTCTATTTATATTTTATATTTTCAAAAATAAATCAATATTTTTGAATTCAAATCACGAATCGAATTAAAGTTATTTGCTTCATTTACAACCCTTACTCCGTATGGTACTTCTGATTTGTTACAAATAGGCTTGGAATTTGTGTACATAAATGTATACATGGGCTACACTTTGCGGGTATATCTATCTTTTAATAATTATAATAATGTTATCACTATTATTATTGTTAATATTATCACTATTATTTATCGAATATATTTGATTAACATTCGAATCCAATACATTGATATTCTTCATTGTATTTGATAACAATTAATCAAATTTAGTATTCTTATTTGTATTTGAAATTTTCGAATCCGAATAACCTTATACGAATTCGAATTGCAAATCGAGCATAAATTATTCTATGTGTTTACAACCCTACACTGGACTTATTCAGGCCCTTTCAAAGTTTAACATGTTCATTTGCAAAGATATCAACTATCAAGAGCATAGTTCGAGTCTTGGAGCCTCACTATATTTAAATTATGCATTTTAATTAATATGATTTTATGTAAGTGATCCTTTTATCTCTGTCTCTGTAGAAGACGATATGTATGTAAGACGATATGTATGTAAGCACGGTGAGTAATTTTGCGGAAATGAAAAAGATGCATTATTGATAGACATTCCTATGTGGCACACGTCTGTTTGATTGATGATCACAGAACTATTTTTCATTGCCCAATGAATGTGTGGCAAATAAGAATGTGATTTAACAATGTCTAGTTTCAATATATCCCAAATCGTCTTGAAGAATTATTACTTTTCTGTAAATGCTACCTGTTTTTTTTTTTGTATCTTGAAGTACCATGTACAGTTTATTTTTACACAATGCAGGTTTGTGCTGTACAATTCCATCTGTTTGTGACATGCATATTGTTTTTGAGTAGAGAGGGATTCAGGCGAATTTGCATGAGGGAAGATATTACATGGTATTTTCAATTGGGTTCATGAGCATTGTTATTGCCTTCAATATGCACATTTTGTTGATCCCCCAATTCTTGTCTCACCCAGTTGGTTGCCTTCAGTGACTTGCTTCCTTTTAATTGTTGATATGTACTGATGCGATTTTAATGGAACATGGTGATAGAGAGCAGGAAGAACGTGGGGCATGGACGGGCTTGAGCCCACATTCCGTGGGCCGGCTTAATTATTTTAATTAATTCCTTTAGTTATTTCCTTTTATAATGTTTCCTATTTTATTTTGTTGCCTAGTATGATTTGATTAGGACTTCGATTAGAGTTGGGGGTTTCCTATTCTTTTTATTTTCCTAGAATGGTTTAATTAGGACTTCTATTAGAATTTTAGAGGCTTCCTATTCTATTTAGTTTCCTATTATGATTTAATTAGGATTCCTAATCTTTTTAGACTTAAAGGGTTATTTAAACCCCTTGTATGATTCATTCTTGACCATCGCGGAATAAAGTTGGATTTTAGCTTTTTGGCTCCTGGCAACGATTTTTATCGTTGATTATTTGGGCAACTGTTTACCCCGTTGATATTTTATTTTTCTACTCTCATTAATTGGTCTGACCTGCCGGATCCCGTCCCGCCGGAATGACGAGATCCCAGAACGATCGTTTGACGGGGCTGGAGGCCAAGCAAACCCTAATCAATCAGAAACTCGATGCGCAAGGGCAGAAATTAGAGGAGCAAGGGCAGAACTCAGAGGAGCAAGGGCAGAACTCAGAGGAGCAAGGGCAGAAATCGGAGGAGCATGGCGCCAAACTCGCAGAGATCGCGGCTTCTCTCACTGCGATCGCGGCTTCTCTCGCTGCGATCGCGAAGGTCATAATACCGCCGGAGAAGACACTGACATCGGCCAGCGACAGCGGCTCTTTCGCGCACGTCGCATCTGCGCAATCAAACGACGGAGGGTTGTGCAGCACCGCAATGCTTCCCTCGTTCGACGGCAAAGACCCGATTGGGTGGATCACTAGGGTTGAACACCAGTTTGAACTCAACGGGATCCTACTAGACAGAAAAGTGGCAGTAGCTGTGGTTGCCATGGAAGGGGCTGCCCTCTATTGGGTAACCTGGCTGAGAGCACGCAAACCCGACATGACCTGGGAGGAATTCAAGCAAGCTTTGGTGGCCAGATTTGACTCCCAATTTAAGGGTAACAAGTTTGAACGGCTGTCCGGCATCAAACAGGTTGGGTTAGTGGAGGACTACGATACCCTGTTTGTGCAGTTAGCCAGCCAAGTTCCGGAGTTGTCTGATGAACATTATTTGGGATACTACATGAATGGACTGAAAGAATCAATCCGAAGCTCGTTGCGCTTATTTTGGCCGAATAACTTGGAAGAGGTCATGGAGTTAGCTCGCGATGTGGAGTACAATCTGTCGGTTCAGAGTCGAGGAAGAGGCAGTCCAAATTATAATCCTATAGGGACACGTTCCAGCAGCTTTTCACTGCCAAACACGGGTCCTCTGCTGACTGCCAGTGGTGGCAGCATACAGGGATCGAATTGCAGCTTCCCAAAAGATAGTGGGCAGCCCCCGGGGACAAATTCAGGGCTGTCCGGGCAGTCTATTGCACGCTCTAGGTTCAATCGACTTCTGCCGAAAAAGTTAGCAGAATTGCGGGCAAAAGGATTATGCTTTAGGTGTGAGAAGCCATTTACACCGGGGCATGACTGCTCCTTTAAGCAGCTACGGGTAATGATAGTTGAGGAGGATGGGGAGTTGGATCTCCAACAACATGAGTATTGTGAAATAACCGGCCACGAAAAGGTTCACAAATGCCAGGGGGTCCGGAAGGAGATGAGGGATATTTTTCACTCTATTCTGTGGCTGGAATTTTCAGCCCTCGATCTACGAGATTTCAACCTTGAGGACAAGGTTATTTGAAAGGAGGATGGATTGATAGAGAGCAGGAAGAACATGGGGCGGGGACGGGCTTGAGCTCACCTTCCGTGGCCTGGCTTAGTTATTTTAACTAATTCCTTTAGTTATTTCCTTTTAACATGTTTCCTATCTTATTTTGTTGCCTAGTATGATTTAATTAGGACTTCTATTAGAGTTAGATGTTTCCTATTCTATTTAGTTTCCTAGAATGGTTTAATTTGGACTTCAATTAGAATTAGAGGTTTCCTATTATGATTTAATTAGGATTCCTATTCTTTCTAGACTTAAAGGGTTATTTAAACCCCTCGTTTGATTCATTCTTGGCCATCATGTAATAAAGTTAGATTTTAGCCTTTTGGCTCTGGGCAACAGTTTTTATCGTTGATTATCTGGGCAGCAGTTTATCCCGTTGATATTTTATTTTTCTGCTCTCTTCAAATGGTCATAGCACCCTGCAGATTCCTTGTCATTATTTTTCATATAGATGGCATAGACTGCATGTCTGGATACATAAAGCTTCTTTCATTTTGTTTCATATAAGGTAATTTTTTGCTTAGTGGTCTGGTGCATTAGATAGCGACTATATCAACTATCTCAACCCAAGCTGTCTCATGATATTTTCTCCGTAATGACTCTAATGAGTAACTTTTATCAATGATCGGTGATGGTTTTGAATATTTCATTATTTCTTACATTATTTCTTACATTATATGACATCACTTTCATGCCGCTGACCCAACATTGTTTATATTAAGGTGGTGATGGTGATGAATGTACTGAAATCAAGCACACGTGAAATGTTAATTTTGCATCTCCGTACAGTTTTGTTAAAGTAATCTGAAAATTTGATTTTGCAGGGATGGTGATTCAGCAGCAGGAGAAACTGAAGCTCAGATTTTGAAAGTCGCCTGGATGACCTTCCCATTAGGGGTACTGGTCACATTTTCTGCTTGTTTGATTGTATTCTGGTGGCAAGATCTGGGTTATTCCAGTCCTTATGGACGAGCTATCTTGATTAATGGTAAGAAGCTAATAACACTATCACATGCTTCACGAAATTAATTATCCTAGCGCATTAACACGCAAGCTATGTCTTAAGGGTTGTAGATTGTTAGAATTGGACAAAGTTAATAAAAAGGTGATTCTAAATTCGGAATGCATTTTTGGGGGGAAAGCTAAAATAAATATTCCGGGAGTGACAGCTCAACTTTTAACGGCACTAAGAGTCCAAGAGGCAAACTTAAATGTTTCGGTCCTTTTTTGCTTTATTAATGTTGCCATTTAATTGTTGTCTGTGTCATCTGTTGGTTTTTTATTATTGTTCAAAGGTTTTTACTATAAGCATAAGCACCTGACATTATTCATTAATAATTGATTGTGGGGAGCGGATTGTTGAAAATGGGTTTGCATGCGTGCTCTTTACCTTCTGATCATATTTTCTGGTGGAGAAAGAGAATGGTTGTTTAGTATACTCTGTAATTAAGTTTTCTTCCATCATTTTTTTGTTCAATAGTTGTGAATTGTGTTTTAATATGTAAAAAAATCACATGCAGGTTTTGCATGCATTCTTGAGCTACTGGCAGAACCATTCTTTATTTTGGCCCAAAAATTGGCTCTTCTCAAATTGCGGCTGATTGTTGAAACTGCTGCCACTCTTTCACGTTGTATAGTAACATATGCTCTCATCCTGAAGCAACCAAGCTCGGTAAGTAGTAATGCTAGATGTGTTTTGTGGTTTCCTTGCGGGGCCTATGCTGGTATTAAGTGTATCAGTAATTCAGTATGGTAAAATAAACTTATGCGAGTCCCGTGTGATATGATAAGAGTAATAAGACCTAGATGAATTACATTTCGTATTTCATAATGTGGACACCAAGGATGTCAAAACCGTAAATTGGAATCGAACTGGTGAACTAAATAAAACACGAAATCATGAATCGATTTTTTTTTACTAAAAGTGATTAAAAAGTCCTAAAATTAGTGACAAGAAAATTAAAAATAAAAGTTTGATTAATAAATTAAAAAATGGGTTAAAACCACTTCAAATGTGATCTAACCCATCCTGTAAAGTTACCCACTTAGCAAATCTACAAATCCAAGCACTTCCCTTTTCATGGTTTCTCTCCTTCAAAAAACGGCCATTTTTTATCAGCCACATACACCAAAAAAGAAATGGGGCATAGCAATCAATAGCAAAAAGCCGGAGAGAAGACATGTGAAATATACCATCTCCTATCTCCTTCAATGTCTCATTTAATTTGAATAACAAGAACTATGGAGAAGAATGCAATCGGTGATCTATTGGCTCGATGTTAAGATTTTGATTCAGTGGTAAATAGCTTATATATTTCTCTTTCAGTTTGACGCTTAATAAACACAAAAATAACTGGATTTGATTCTTCTAGACTACCTTTGATTTGTTTGAGTTGCAGGCTAGAGTTTAATTTGATATATTTGAAAATTGCACAGATAGCTAACACCGCGATTTGACACGATTCCAATGATTTTGACCATTTTTACTCAATTACAATTTTCTTTGTGATTGGATTGGCACAACTAGTTTGAATCATGAAACCAGACGATTTTACAATTCTAATCACGATTTTGACAACCTTGGTGGACACATCTGCTCCACCGCTGCATAGAAGATGTGAAGAACTTGTACTTAGGTCTGCATAGTTAAACTGTTGTTTGGTAGTTACTCTGTATCAAAGGTCAAGTAGTGAATAGGACATTTACTTAGCCTTGCATTATTTGTTTTAGAAATATATGCTTCAATCCTGAATACTCTAATACTTTAGTCTAATAGACAATGTTTTGAAAGCCTAAGTCGCCCGCCTGCCTCACGAGGCATAAGGCTAAAGTCTTTCCATTATTTACAATGGAGCCAAAGACTCACTATTTTTTGGCTTGAGAATATGATGGAATAAAGCAAAATGACTCATTAAACTGTCTGCGCATCTTTGTTATGAAGCAGCAGTTAGTCCATGTAATTTTCGACGCGATTCTCACTATGGGTCATCCGGAAACAGTCTCTTTGTGCTTTAGTACAAGGGTAAGACTGCTTACATCAGACCCCCCG